TGCGGAAAATCCCGCGGTTTTCGCAGGACAGTCGCTCCGTCACCGTGGTGTCGGCTCCCGAGCCCGAAGAATATGTGAACACGGCAGCATCATAGGTCTTTGCTTGCTGCTGGACTCTCACGTAGTGGTTGAAATTTCCGCCCTTCCATCTGTGAGGCGGATGATCACTTTCTGGCACATGGAGGTTGGACCCTGCGGCTATGCTGGCCTGAATGGTGGCAAGGGCCGGCTCTAAAACGATCTTGAAATCCGTGCCGCCGCTCCTGCAGTTCTGTTCATTCAGCCATCTCTTGGTGTCGCTCGCAGGAGTCTGGCGCCCAGAGTTTTGCGCTGGAACGCCATTCTTGAGGAGGATCACAGCCATGTAACCCTTCCAGTCCAGTGCATCCAGCACAGCTCCCATGTCCTGCCGGGCCAGTTTTGGGCCTTCAAGGTTTTTCTGAGTTTTTCGTCACTCACGCTCGCACACGCCAGGCGGGTTCAGGTTTTGCCTTTTGGGCTGTCAAGTAACTCGCCTTGACATGTCGTGACAAGAACAAAACAAGCGCGAAACCCACCCCTGCTATGACTGGTCGGGATGCCTATGTAGTATATGTACTTTGCACCTTTGCTCGGGTTCCTTTGCCAAGCCTGTGTTTCGCACAGGCTAAAGGAATTAAAGTGGCCCGCACAGTCTAGCTTTGTGCGAGTACAAGCTTGCAACTGATTCTGCAGCCTTTTGCCACGCCCAAGGAAGAACGCTTGCACCGGCCTGCGACTGTTGGAGCTGCGCATCCTCCCGCGTATCAACGGAGTGGAGGCCCCGGACAGTGGCAACAAACTTAACATGTGCTCAGCATGCGGCTGCTTGCAGCGCTTCACCGTGCTTGGCTTTGAAAAAGCTGGTGCCGTGTACTCTCGGTTTTTTCTTGTGATGTGGGTCTGGGAGGTCTAGAGGCCCTCATGGCGAGAACTTACTGAGAAGCTAGCAAGCTCTTCCAAGCGAGGGCGCCCTCCACGAAACAGATAAGGGTCATTGACATCTTCTGTGTCCTGCTTGAAGATCATCCTAATTATAAGGTCTACGTATAACCTACTCAGAGGACTTGGGGGTCGATAAGTACAGTTATATGATTGGGGTTATAACTACCCTGAGCCTCCAAGTGCAGTCGAGAGCAGTTTCAGCTGGTGTTCCTATTGCCAAGACCCATCTTTATCGTCCAGTTAGGGTTTAGGGTTTAAGGTTTAGGATATAGGGTTGAAGGTTTCAGCTGGTGTTCCTATTGGCGCCACTCCGCGTTTGCTAAATATCTATCTTTATCGTCCGGAGGCATGTCAGTTCCGATGCAAGTACGAAAAGGAGCGGCTCCTGCTCATCCTTGACCGTCTGCTCCGTCACGGAGCAGCACAAGAATAGCCACCACAACGCCATGGAAGCGATATTCTGCGTCGTGAACGGGGGCCGATACGCTGCGGTCAGCTACAGTTCCTCTGCGTCCATGAGAACATGCGGCATCGAGGCATGACTGGCAAGCACAGGAAATATGGGCAGAGAGAGAGAGAGAGAACAAAAAAAAAAAAGACAGAGAGAGAGAGAGAGTGACTGACACACACACACACACACAGACACAGAAAACGAGAGATACTGACAAGAGTGGGAAAAGTAGGACAGATCTTTGCCCCCAAACATTTCCTATTGTTGCAATTTGCCCAGCTCTTCAATGGGCCAGGGAGGAACAACCCTATCGCCTGAGTCGAAGCTCCACGCGAAGGCGCAGCATAAGAGAGCCTTCTAGCCCCTAAACTCCCTAAACCCTAAACCCTAAACCGCTAAACCCTAAACCCTGAACCCTGAACCCTAAACCCTAAACCCTAAACCCTAAACCCTAAACCCTAAACCCTAACCCCCCCCCATATGGCCTCGCACTCTGGCTGGTAGGAGAGGCGTGTGTAAAAGGCTCGCAGCAAGGCCTTGTTGTCGGCCTGCAAGGGCTGTAAGGTCTTCAGGGTTTAAGCCCCTTAGAACTTTAGGGTGAAAAGTGAAAGGTCTGCATGGTGTTTCAGGGTCTAGCTGTGTTCAGGGTCTAGTTGTGTTCAGGCTCAAGCGCTTGGAGGGTGAAGGTCTATCGGGTTACGGGCTTGGGGTCTCCCCGCTGAGGCGAAGCCCAGGGGCTTGGGACACAGAGAGGCTGTAGGGTTTAGAGTGTGCAGGCCGCTTAGGGCTTAGGCTTTATGGGGCAACAGATGAAGAGCAAAACTGCAGCTGCCCAAAAAACCTTACAAACCCTCAAGCCCTAAACTCTCTAAACCTTGAGGAGTTGGGATCCCTGTCTCCAAACCTCCTCGCATCTCCAGACCGCACCTTCAGCTTGGCCGCGACGGGCGCCATGGCAGCGCGCCCGGCCGCTCCAGATGCGGCACGCTGTATAAGAACAAGAAGGGCGCCTGAAACGAGATCTGAATCCAAGAAATCCTCAACGCAATGGGAGGCGTCTCGAACCTCGACAGGAAACCCTAAACTCTAATAAACTCGATCCTGCCTGGGAGCCTCCCGAGCCGGTGGCGACACGCTTCATTTGATGCTTGCACCCTGAGGGCGCATGGTACCTGTATAGTACATACTTGGGCCTTAAAGGGGTTCCCATAGAAAAGCTTTAGGGCAAAAGTATATACTACAGAGGTACATGGATCCTCAAGGTTGGTTGAGGGTTTAGTGTTTCAATGCAATGGCTCAGGGCTTGGGGCATAATAGGAGCTCCTCAACAGTCGAATCATGACTTGCCGTTGGTTTAGGACTTAGGGTTTAGGGTTTAGGGTTTAGCGACGTACTGTCCCGACACAGGAAATGAAATCTGGGAAAATTCTGACTGAAATCTGGACATTTCTTGAATGCAATGCTCTCTGCTGACAGTGAACATATATTAAGAAGCTGAAAAAGACCGTGCCCACCGTTATGGCCTCAGTACGTAAACTCCATCAAGGCAGGATATCTCACCTGCCACTCAAGAGATGTCAGGTTTTATCTGTTTTGTCTAGTTCTTTTCGCGGAACTAAAAGGGTCATCTCGAATAGTAAGCTCAACGTAGCAGTCGTTGGATTCTAGGGTTTTGGGTTTAAGGGAGAATTGGGCTTTCGGATTTCCGGGCTTCAAGGGAGCTTCCGAACAGCGTAACCAAAGGGCCGGCAGTGTAAACCTCAGAGATGTAACGCGAATCATGGACGCGCACGTCACGTCACAACAACCCTAAACCCCAAAAGGCCCCAAAGTCTCAGGTGGAGGATTGCGAACTTGCAGGTGGGCCACTCATATTTAATCGAGCCGCTGGGAAGCAGTGCGCTGTGCTACTTGCCGTTTCCTTGACCGGCGTCGCAAACAGATGCTTTGAAGGGCTTGGGGCTTAAAGTTCTCTGGATCTATAACCAGGCCTTGTAAACATACCCACCTTTGGCCCTCCAGCCCTGAAGCCTTTAGAGCCCGAATCGGAGCATCTGATGCGCATCGGAAGATGTGAACTCCGAAAGGCCTCAGGCCGTTCGGGTCAAATGTCTCCCGAGAACTCCATGACTCGCAATCATTTCTAAGTTGGTCTATGACACGAAGCTGGTCTCTCTTCTGCTTAACGACTTGCCAATGGTTCACGACAGGTTCATGCGGATGATGAAGCCTTCGAGGGAAGTCACAGGGATCTCCAGGAGAGAAGCGGTCAGTGCCAGGCTTGGTACAGCGGCACCAGCTCCGGCGTTCATTAACGGTCTGAAGGAGCCCGATACCCCTCAATTAAGGAATGTACCTTGTAAAGGGATCCTTAATACGATTTAAGGCATACATTCAGGGGTATTCGGCTTTTTTGGGTTCGTAGCTGACCCACGCGCAGCTCTCACTCACCTCCTCAAGAATCATGACTTGCCACAGGCCTACCAACGTACTGTCCCCGTACTGTCGGGACAGGTTTCTTATGCACACCCTCTTATAAACTATGGCCAGTTGATACTACATTTCCATGAGCCTTCCAGGCAGGCTCACCTGCTACTGGAAACAAGTAGGGTTTAGTTTACCTGTTTGTCCAGTTCTTTTCCGGGAACTAGAGGACAACACTGTGGACTGTAAGGGGGACTGCTCTGCCCGCGACCCGGTAAAAAGGTCATCTCGAAGAATAAATAGTAAACGTGGTCGAAATTGAAGTTAGGGTTTCGGGTTTACGGGGGACTTGGGCGGATTTCCGGGCGTCTAGGGGTCTGCCGAACAGTGTAGCCAAAGGCAGACACTGCAAACCTCAGAGATGTACAATGCAATTCTACCTGCGCACGTCACCAAAACCCTAAACACTAAAGGCCCCAAAGTCTGAGGTGGAGGATTGTGAATTTGCAAGTGGGCCACTCATGTGCACTGTGCTTTTTGCCGTTTCTTTGAACGGTGGCGCATGCAGATGCATTGAAGGGGACTTAAATGGACTTAAGGTTTTCTTGTTGTATAGCCATGCGCTTGGTAAACATACCCACCTTTGGCCCTCCAGCCCTTAAGCCTTTAGAGCCCGAATCGGAGCATCTGATGCGCATCGGAAGATGTGAACTCCGTTAGGCCTCAGGCCGTTCGGGTCAAATGTCTCCCGAGAACCCCATGGCTCGCAATCATTTCTAAGTTGGTCTATGACACGAGCAGCAGCGACTTGCCATGGCTCCCGCCTGCTTCATGGGGAGCCTTCGAGGGACCAGGGGCTGCAAGTCGCAGGGCTCTCCAGGAGAGAAACGAGGAAACGACAGGAAACTCAATGCCAGGCTTGGCGCAGCGGCACAAGCTCTGAGGCGTTCATTTGCGGTCGGAAGTGACCCACGCGCAAACCTCGTGTTGAGGGGAAGCTGCAGCTTACGACTAGCTTACGGCTTGGGGGTTGAGGTCTTCCCGAAGCCCTAACCCAAGGAATGCTTTCCGAGCCGTTATGCCGTTACCATGTTCGATACTTTTCTCAAAAGCCCAGCGTTTTCGACACTGGCCGCAAGCCATTTTAAGCCCCCCTGCACACGTGACGTCATCCATCTTGCCACCCTCGTACTTCACGCCGGCCTCGCCACAGGGGATCCAACCCCGAGCCCCCCAAAAAAGGCACTTCGGGAGGTCACCAACATGATTCAGAACTTCTGACCGGCGCCTTGCGCGCGGCGTCCGAGAATGGCGTCCTGAGGATAGGGGCTGGTTTTCAGCTTGGGTTTTGTTGATGGCGTTGGGTTTGTGGGATGACAGGCTTATAACCTTCTTTACCCTGAACCCTGAATCTCAGGACGTCATCTGCCCAGGGGGGGCGGAGGCGGAGAGGCCTTACCGACATTGGCTGGCTTTGGGCTGCCCCGGCCTTGCATCGCGACTCAGGGAGCGCCAACGCGCTGCCTGTGCCCACGCCAGGGCTTTTTCGGGATTCATGTTGATAGGGTCTTTTGGGGATTTGGGGGGTGTCCGAAACTAGGGGTGCCTTCTTGGGGTCCTTTCCAAAAAGGGGATCTTGCTACTTGGGGGTTTTCATATTGGGGGTCCCCTATGTTCATAAAACTCCATTTCAGTTTGGAGTTTAAGGCTTCAGGGTTTAGAGTTCCTGCGGCGTTTCGCGCTGGGGGCTTGAAAGGGTGTGGTGTTCAGGGTTTAGGGTTTAGGATTTAGGGTTTAGGGTTTACGGCTTAGGGGTTTGAAAGGATGTATAGAGTTTAGGGGATCCTACTGTGGGAGTTCTAGGGATTACAGGGTTGATGTAGAGTTTACAGTCTTATAAGGCTCATAGAGTACCCTACTGGGCTTGGCAGGCTTTTGGACCTTCTGGGCGTAGGCCCTAAATCCTAAACCCTACAAAGCCCTACAAAACCCAATAAACCCTATAGAAACCCTATAGAAACCCTGCAGTAAGCCCTATAATAAACCCTGTAATAAACCCTACAATAAGCCCTTTAATAAGCCCTGTAATAAAATCTATAGTAAGCCCTATAAACCCAAAGCCCCGAACCCTACGTCTCCCGAGCCTTGGCAAGGGCTTCGGCGATCTGGGCCTGCATCCACGCCCCCCCAAGAATGGCTCATCGGGCTCATAATTAGGGTTTAGGGTTTAGGGTTTAGGGCTTAGGGTTTAGGGATTAGAGGAGTTAGGGATCTTGTAGGGTACCCCCCCCAAAAAAGGCCTTTATAGGGTTCCCAATTCTGAGGGCTAAAAGGAGTTAAGGTTTCTTCGGGCACCCCCAACAAGAGAAAAGAACTCATTCGAGAGCGCTGCCCATGTGGAGGGTTACGGATCTAGGGATAAACCCTAAACCCTGACGGCTCCCACTGCCCACTGCTTGGCCCCAGGCAGCTTCGGTGAAGTGGCCTTGCGAGGGCGGCGGCGAGTGCACGCTGCCCCAACCCGGGCTTTAGGGTTTAGGGTTTAGGGTTTAGGGAGAACCAGTCCAACCTCCAAACGAAAAACCTGTCCGGACCTGCAGAAACAGGCACCAAAAAACAAAAACCTCATGCCAAGAAAAGCAGGGAACTGTCGGCACTGTGGGCGAAAAAAGGCAGAATTCGTTGCAGAGCAGAGGGCGGCAACAAGAAACGATGACGACGACGCCGTGAAAAAGCGACAGTGCGCACGATGCTGTTCAAAAGTTGCGGCTTTGCCTCGGCAAAGCTCGCATCACGTCAAAGCCTACGTTCTCGGCTTGCGGCCCTTTTGCAGGGTTACTGTTCTCTGGTACGCCCTTTCCTCCCTCCCCCAGAATTATGCTTCATGGCCCCTACCGGGGGAAGGGTGGGTGGGGGGATGGGTGTAGCTGATCATGATCTTCACAGCCCGTGAACGTACACACTCCCACCCGAAGGAACATAGTATCACAGGAGATGCCAGCCCCAAGTTGGCAAAGCACATGCCGGATGATCCCCCCCGCCTCCTACGTGCTTTCCAGTTGCTCGAAACCGTGCCGACTCTTGTGCTGAACAGGTCTAAGCCTTAAGACCTTACGAACCCAAAAGCTACTTTTTCTGTAGGTTGGCTAAGAATCCTATGGTTTTTAATATGTACCTACAAACAGGACTACGTAGATTTGGGGTTCTTAAGGGTAACACTGATACTTCTATTCCCCACGCCCCGCTCTCCAAACCAATGAAGCCAGCCTCCTACTCCTAGGGATGTGCGCCGCAAGGGTTCGCGAAGTTCCCTCTCTAAACGCCCAAAAAAGGTTGTTTAGGGTTTAGGGTTTAGGGTTCAGGGTTTTGGGTTTAGGGCTTAAGGTTTAAGGTTTAGGGTTTAGAAATTAGGGGCCCAAGGTAGCAGTCCCTTGCCCCACAGCCCTTCCCTGGAGCTGCAATTCTGGGACCGCGTGCCGTTCTCCTCCTCCAGCGGGCCCACCGCCCCTGCGACGATTTGGCAAACCTGGCTGCGCAAACCGCGATCGGCTTAGGGCTTGGAGCTTTAAGGGTTTAGGGTTTAGGGTTTAGGGTTGAGGGATTTTTGCCCCGAACCCTACATGCCCAGATTCCCGACACCCTTGGAGGCTCTTAAGGCCCTAACTGCTAATCCAACACTGCGTGCGGAGTGCTTGGAGTGTCTCGGAGTGCTCGCCTCTTCCATGTAGAGATTGTCCCACATTCCATCGGTGCCTCAACTGGGTTTGGGGTCTATGGTTGGTGTCGTATAGTAGGGCGTATGTGGGTTCGAACTCGTATAATTAAGACTTATCGCCTAAACACATGCTTCCTGCCCGGTGCAGCTTAAAAATCCCAACCCAAACCCAGCCAAAGAGTCCTGTTGCTTCTTCGTGGGGAATTCGGGAACACGAGCACTATGCAGGCATCCGGGTGGGGGGTAGGTCTAAGGGGGTGAGGAGTAGCATAGAACTTTCGAATGTAGGGTTTAAGGGGTGCTGCGGGGTTCTCAGGCTGGGTTACGGGCAGGGTTTAAGGCGATGTTTTCTCGGGATTCGGGTTTTTTGCATGCCGACTAAAGTGCCAGGTTGCAAGTGCTCCCCCTTAAACCCCTAAACATCCCTAAGCCCATCTAAGCCCTAAACAGCCCCCACTCCCACACAGCCATTCGACCCTCCTCGTCGTCGGGGCCCCGGCCCAGGATGAGCATATCGCCCTCCTGGACTTGGCAGCTCAAAAGCTGCGAGTCCTGGCGGATGCCATGCTGACGGATGCTTCAGGGGCTTCAGGCTTATTTTTGTGGGCGGGCCGGTTTGGGGTAATTGGGGGGCTGGGGGAGGGGTGGGGGGGGGGCAACGGTTTTGTTGGGGGGGGGGGGGGGGGTTTGGGTTGGGGAGTTTTGGCTTTAGAGAGAGCATGTGAGGCTCCTCAGGGCCATGGTCCTTTCGACGGCGCGACTGCTGCAGCGCCTTGACCAGTTTCTGCTTCTCCTTGCGGGGGGGGGGGGGGGGGACTTTTCGGAAGGGTCGCATGTTGGCTTTAGGAGTTCAGGCTCTACTGCTCGTGCTGCAATCCCTTCAAGGAAAAATGGGGGCCCGAACAATTTCTGGATTCTAGTTTTGGAAGATCCCTTTTAACAGAAAAAACTCAGACCCGGTGAGCCCGCATGAGCTCCTCCCCTTCTCGCATCAGCTGTGGATAGTCTGCAGGGCCAGGATAGCAAGCAAGTTGCCACCTGGCCGCAAAACCCTTGCTGTGACAGGGTACCCCTCACCATAAACCCAGCCTCCACCATCCTCATCATAATACGCTAGAATGGGAAGGCCGGGGGGTATTTGGTGAGGACCCTACATGGGATGCTCATGTAGAGTCTGAACTTGAAAGAGCCCGTGCTAACACTCCCACTTCACAACGCAGATCTGGCCAGGCGCACGGGAGGTTGAACTTCACCTGCAGCAGAACAGCGAGAAACTCTTCCGGCCGAACTGCAACCGCTGTGCCGCGCGAACGCTGCTGCGCGCCTGCTGATCCTCGGTGCGGCAGATGCAGGTCATTCCACCTCCGACCTGCCGGCGGACAGGCAACAAATCCTCAACCCTGAGGCCCTCCCCCCTGCTTGAAGGCTCACAGGGAACCCCCTATGTCAGGATTCCTAAGGATGACCTGATGAGGCACTACTCCCAAGCCATCCGAATTCCTGAACTTCTGGACTCCGAAGTTTCCTGCATCCGTTGCCTCCTCTCGGCGCAGGACGGCCAGTGCCTGACACACGGCTTGAGGCTTCCGGACTTGAAGGAATTGAGGCTGGGCGAAGTCTTGCAGAGTTCAGAGCCCGTGTCGGGCAACCCCAACTTAAGAAGCCCGAGACGGAACCCCAAAACCCAAAAACCCTCAACCCTAGGCCGCTCCGAGAAGCCTCAAGCCCAGCCAACTGGTCCCAACTTGCCGGAGCCACCGAATCGCCCAAGTTGGCGATGCCCAGCTGCCCGCGCCTCGTGGCCGAATTCAGAGAGTTTGAGGGCTCAGATGGGGCTTAGGAGCTTTGCGTTTACAAGGCTGAGGGCCTTTTTAGGGCTCAGAATCCTTCAAGCTCTAAACCCTAAACCCTAAACCCTAAACCCTAAACCCTAAACCCTAAACCCTAAACCCTAAACCCTAAACCCTAAACCCTAAGAAGCCCGGATGCCAAACCCCCCGTCTTCAACGAGCTCCACCTGCCCAGCGCCGTCACCACGGCAGTCGAGGATCCCCAGGACCTGGGGTTTAGGGTTTAGAGGGTTTAGAGGGTTTAGAGGGTTTAGAGGGTTTAGAGGGTTTAGGGTTTACGGGTTATGGGTTTCGGGTTTAGGGTGTAGGACGGAGAGGTGAGCCCTGCACTACGCCTCATAAAAAGACTTACTATTTGGCGTGCATTATTCTTTTCTCTATTTTTATTCTTTCTTCATTCCTTTCCTAATTTTGCTTGTTGTTCAATTGAGTTCATGCGTCATTCATATCTTCACTCCTTATAACTCAATTAAACAAGCAAAATAAGAGAATTAGAATGAAGAATCCAGTAAAACTTCGTTCACATGTTTCGTTCACATTTTAATTGGGGATTTCGTGACACGGGCTAGTAATAATATTATAATTCATGCAGTTCCTTATAATTATAATATTATGGACGCCCGTGAGCTTTTCTCCATCATTAACGAGCCCAAAATCTGGATCTTGGTGCAGCAGTTACGGGCACATGGTGATAGAATATAATATAGGATTTCTGGTGATTGAATGGTGGATCATGGGCTGGGTGAAAAAGCCTTGTCCAAAAGGTAACAATGAACTGGATTACATGCGTCTGTTAAGTCATGATGGTTGTACTTCGTTCACACAATATTATTACATGTTTCACAGGACATGGTATTTGGGTTGAGGAGTTTGGCGCTCCCCCCAACCCTAGACGTCCCAGAAACCCGAGAGAAAAACAAAAAAAAACCTTCAGCCAAACCCTAAACCCTAAACCCTACACCCAAAACCCAAAACCCCAAACCCCAAACCCTAAACCCTAAACCCTAAACCCGAAACCCTCAACCCTAAATCCCAAACCCTAAACTTACCCTGTGGAAGAAAAGCCCCCGGGGTCCACAGGAAACCCCTGGCCTGGTCTGCTGGTGCGCCTTTTTGAGCGCCTCGAGCACGTGCCTTGGAAGGAAGGGGTTAGGCCTCTCAAGGTTTGTTTAGGGTTTAGGGTTTAGGGTTTAGGGTTTAGGGTTTAAGGGTTTAAGGGTTTAAGGGTTTAAGGGTTTAAGGGTTTAAGGGTTTAAGGGTTTAAGGGTTTAAGGGTTTAAGGGTTTAAGGGTTTAAGGGTTTAAGGGTTTAAGGGTTTAAGGGGGTTTAAGGGTTTAAGGGTTTAAGGGTTTAAGGGTTTAAGGGTTTAAGGGTTTAAGGGTTTAAGGGTTTAAGGGTTTAAGGGTTTAAGGGTTTAGGGGGCCTTGTGGGGGCTTCATGACTTTGAGCTCTGTTGTCTTTAAGGCAAGGTTTGGGCTATCAAAACAGCTGGCTTTGTTTTAGGGCTCGGCGTTCGAGATGGACGCATATCTGCATCTGGGCGGTTTGGGCCCACGCAGGCGTTTAGGGAGGCTGTTCTTGAAGTCTTGAAAGGTCCGGGTTTAGGGCTTAGGGTTTAAGGTTCAAGGGTTTAGGGGCCTTTTGGGGGGCTTAATGACTCTGAGCTCTGTTGCCTTTAAGGCAAGGTGTGGGCTATTACAGCGGAGGCTCCAGAGAGAAGGACGGCGTTGGCTTTAGGGCTCGGCGTTTTTAGATGGACTGCCGCAGTTCTGGGAAGGTCCGGCTCACGGTCCATGACTCTGAAGTGCTCTGGGCGCCTGGCTCTCTCAAGTCTCCAGCAATGTCGCCAGGGTTGTTGGTCATGAAGTACTCCTTCCCACGAAGGCCCGGCACATGGCGAGTTTGGGGTTTTGGGCTGTGGCCTCCAACTCCGACTGCGCTGCTGGGGGGGGGGGGGGGGTTGGGGACAACCCGGCGTGTGCGTAGGGGCGGAGCATTCGGTGGGCCACGTCTGAGATGTTGCCGGGGGGTTTCGGGAGTTCAGCGTTGTGGGCCGTTTATGCCCGATCGCCCTGGGCTACGAGTCTCTCAGCTTCTCTTGTGGCTCCTGGCAGCCAAGCATGAGCTCATTGGCGAAGTTCCGCGCGCTGAGGCCTCTCTCATGAGGGCCCATGGGCTGCTTGTAGACCCTAAAAACCCTAGAGTCAAAGAAAGGGCGGAAAATGACGGGGTTTGTGCAGTTGTAGAGGCTGTAAGGTGCTCAGACAAAGCAGGCGGCCCGTCTGTTTCCTTGGGGGCGGGCCAAAGCAGCTCCATTCGCCAACACCATCGGCCACCTAGAGAAAGAGCGGGGGAGGCTGCATGTAGAGCAAAACAACGCAAAAGTGCTCTGAAAACGACGACTCGACTGCACCCACCCGCGCCCACAGCCAGGTGAAGCGTCGCCCCACCCAAGTGGCTCTGGGCTCGATGCCCCGAGGCAGCGGAGGTTCGCGCCCATGAAGTGGCCTCATGCAGTATGAAGTGCCAAGAAGCTGCGAAAACGAAGGTGATGGAGACCAGTCAAAGCACATGCCATGCCCCAAAATGTGTTGAGAGCCAGGCTGTCCTCGCCTCCGTCCACCTGAGCCACCCGATCTTCGCGGGGCCCCGCTGGGAACATCCTAAACGAGCCGAGGCCGCCGCCTTGCCCGCATGCGGCATGGAAAACGCACCACTCTGGAACTTCAAGAGCTCGGACTCGGGATCCTGGCCGCACGCCCATCTGCAAAGGCTGCTTAAGACGCCCTGAGACACGGTGGCTCTGAGCACCTTCGGCCACGTGCGCAGGCGGAAGTCGTTCGACCTGTGGCTTGGTGCTGTGGGCTCAGGGTTTTGGGGTTTATAGGCTCACACGGAGGTTTACGAAAATAGGGGACCCCTAATACAGTCCCACAAGTATTAGGGTCCCCTTCTAAACGAACCCGATAAAAGGTACCCCAAGAATCGTAAGACGCACTAAACCCTAAGCCCTAAACCCCCACATCCCTAAGGGTCCATGTACCTATATAGTATATACTTGGGCCTTAAAGGGGTTCCCATATAGTAGCTTTAGGGCCCAAGTATATACTATATGGGTACATGGACCCTTTGGGCATGCCACAGACGTGCGCCCCCATGTGGCGCGTGGTGGCCTCCCAAGGAGCTCGTGCACCGCCTGCAATTGGGGGGCATTCTCACTCTCAAGTCTCGGGATGCTCCCCCCTTGGGGTTTGGGGTTTAGGGTTTAGGGTTTAAGGTTTAGGGTTTAGGGCCTAGGGTTCAGGGGCTGTTCCCCCTTATACCAGCAGCTCCTTAACAGGGATTATCATTAGGGGGAAGGCGTACTATAATCCCTATTAAGGTCAGTTATAGTCATTCTTACTCACGTGCAAAATTCGCAACATGGACCTCGAAAGGTTGGCATCGACACATCTTTAACATGAGCTGCATCAAGCTCTTGAGTGGCAAGCATTTGAGAGGTGCAAAAAAAAACACACACACACACACACACACACCAAAAAAGAATGAGCAAACACGAAGGGCGTCTGACTGCCAGAAAGAGATGGAAACAGTTTTCCAACACAAGTGATGTACGGCAATGACCAAAAAACCGAGCATCTGCACACCCTCAACGCCCAACCATCCCTAACCCCTGGAAAAGCCCCTACGAGCCCCCCCAAAGCCCCCAAAACCCGCAGATCCGGCCTCTGGCCACTCGGCGAGCGCTGCGGGCACCGATGGGCCTTTTTTGCCGGGTTCTGCAGCTTGAGGGCTTGAAGGGTTTGAAGAAGAACGTTCAAGGGCGAAGGGCTTTTAAGGGCTTTATAAGGCCTTGTACAGCTTTCTATGTAGCTATAGGGTCTATAGGCTTCGTAGGGTTGAGGGCGTGAGGTTTAGGCTTTCAGTGCGCGGCAGGCCTTCGGATTCTCAGGGTTTGGGGTTGTGTTTTTTGCGGGAGGACGGGCCTTCAGGTTTAGAAATACGGACATGTAAGTTTCTGCTTTACCGTGTCTCTCGGCGCCCCGGCACAGCGAGGCCAGGTACTCGGAGGAGCGCCGCCTCTCTCGCCGCATGCGCGGCCTGAGCCCGTAGGGGCACTCCAAGACAGTGCTTTGCATATTCCCAGTCCAGACAGTGCTTTATATGAGCCCTATGTATGTGTATGGCTCAAAACGACTTCTATACACCTGACCTAGGTCATGGTTGGGATGGTATTAAACAGTAAAAAAAATCTATTCCTTAAGCCAGAGAACGTCAAACACACTTGCAGGACACCCTCCACGGCATGAGTGGCGCCTGTGCCCTGCCAGGTTCAAGGGCAGGGTGGACAAGGGGGTTTACGATACTAGGGGTACCTTATTGGGGGCCTTACTAAGGGAATCCTACTATGTGGGGTCTATTTTAGGGGCCCCTATTTTCGGAAACCCCCCATATATGGGTTCAGGGCTATAGGGTTTAGGGCTCCGAAGGGCCCTAAACTACCCTCATATCGGGGTCGGAAGAAGTACGAATAAAAGTATTCCCTTATGGCCCTAACAGCCCAACCAGAGGGCTTCAGAAGGGCCCCTAGGAACAACCCTGTTAGGGTTTAGGGTTTAGGGTTTAGGATTTAGGGTTTAGGGTTTAGGGTTTAGGGTTTAGGGTTTAGGGTTTAGGGTTTAGGGTTTAGGGCATCCCTAAGCCTTATTTGGGCTTTCAAGCGCCCACGGCCAGGGGCCCCGTGCTGCATCGGGTCCGAGGCTTCTCGCTGCTGCGCATCCTCGGCCGGATCAAGACGTTCCCTGAACCTTTCCGGCTTGTGGCATGTGGGTTTAGGGGTTTTATGGGTTAGGGTTTTGGGGGTTGAGGGTTTTGGGGGTTGAGGGTTTTGGGGGTTTAGGGGTTTAGGGGTTTTAGGGTTTAGGGTTTTAGGGGTTGAGGCTTTAGGGTTTAGGGCGATGAGGCCTTGCAATCCCCCCAACCAACCCTATAAAGGGCCTTTTTAAGGGGCCAAAGGGGAATAAAAGGGTGCCCTTTCAGGAAGGACTCTAAGCGGGACCCCAACCGTAAAGGAAGGAAATATGCCCTACCCACCCGAAGCCCACGAAACCACCAGCCTCCCTCAAACCCTCCAACCCCAAACCGTAAATCATGCGTGAAGCTGAACCTACTACCCCAAAACCCTCAAACCCCAACATCCCAAAAAGCATGCGAAAAAACTCGAAGCCTTAAATCGAAACCTTACAGCCGCAAGGGCCAGAGCCCTAAACCTGAAAAGCCCCCGAAAGCCTTAAAGGGTTGAGGGTTCGTGGCTGAGGGTACACGATTTTTGCATGAGCTCCTGGCGCATGTGATGCCTCGTGTCAAAGCAGGCCCAGCCGTCAGTTGCGGATCTGCGCCAAGGCCGCTTCAAGGCTCCGGGAGCTCAGGTAGGGAGAGCTTAGTAAAGTGTAGAGTCTTGCCGGTAGAATTTAGCTTGACCTGGCCCAGACCCAAGTTTTCGGCTCATGAAAAGGGGGAATTTGGCTAGCTTCATTCATCTTGCCCAAACTCAGGTTTTTGGAATTTAGCTTCATCTGGCCCAAGCCCGGGTTTTCGGCTCGAGAAAATGGCTTTGGGCCAGCTCGAGAACTTTGGGCCAGGGAGGCTGAATTGAGCTTCATCTGGCCCAAACCCAGGTTTTCGGCTTGAGAAAGGGGGCTTGCGCCAGAAGAAGCTGATTTTAGCTTCATCTGGACCCCCAACCCAGGTTTTCGGCTCGAGCCGGCTTTCGGCGCGAGAAAGGGGCTTGGGACAGAAGACGGTGAATCTAGCTTCGTCTGGCTCAGGCTTTCGGCGCATTTAGCCCAAGCCTAGGTCTTCGGCTCGAGAAAGGGCTGCTAGGTACTTAAAGGTCGGGCCCCATCCCAAATTCAAGAACACTCCTAAAGGAATTGCATAAGGTGCTGCAACTACCCGTGAACCCTTTTCGAGCAAAGGGCCAGTGGAATGTTGTTGCAGGTGTTGCAGCCTTCGGCCAAGATGGGCCTTAGGATCCTAAACCCCCCAATCCCTCTCAACCCTAAACCCTAGACCCGTTGGGTTCAGCCCCTACGGCTCAAAAGTGCACATGGGCGCGAAGGGCTCGAACCTAGAATATGGGGACTACCACACCCCTTAGTTCTAAAATATAAGGGGGTTCCCTATATGGTTTCAGGAATATTCCTCAACTGAGGGGGGTATTGGAGTCTCTAAGAAGGGCAGGAAGGTTTTTTTTTGGGGTCCGGGCTGCCAAGGTTTCAAGGATTCAGAGGGCTTAAGGGTTTAGGGTTTAGGGTTTAGGGTTAAGGACCCTAACTAAAGCCCTTTCAGCTAAAGATCTTTCCGGCCTGACACGTCGCCGTCGGGAGAGGACGCCCTCTCCTCACAAAAGGGATCTTCGCGGGTGGGGCGGGGGGGGGGGGGGGGGGGGGGGGGGGGGGGTTTGGGTTTATACTGCTCCGATAACCCGGCAACACCTAAACCCAAAATTAAAACCCAAAACCCAAACCCAAAACCCGGCAACGAAGAAGAGCCTGAGCTGCGGCTGGCCCTCTTTTCAACTCTTTGAGAAGATTCACAAAATGTTATCCTCTCAACGCCAGTAGTATCAGTAGAGGAAATAGACACGAAGAGCCCTACCTAGAGCCCTACAGCTTCTGGACCATAAGTTGAAGATTCTGGGCTGGAAAGCTCGGTTTTGGTCCCTTTGGCCAGGGATCCTGTTTACCAGGGGCCCGAACCCTAAACCCTAAACCCTAAACCCTAAACATCTGCTTGTTAAAGGTTCACCATTGCCGCGTGGGACTTTGCGAAGCTGGGCGTAACCCAGGATGGCCCTTGAAACTTGAAAAATGCTCCTAAAGATGATCCTCTTCAACCCGTTTAGGGTTTAGGGTTTAGGGTTTAGGGTAGGTTTAGGGTTTAGGGGTTTAGGGGTTTAGGGGTTTAGGGGTTTAGGGGTTTAGGGGTTTAGGGGTTTAGGGGTTTAGGGGTTTAGGGGTTTAGGAGTTTAGGGGTTTAGGGGTTTCGGGGTTTGGGGGTTTAGGGGTTTAGGGGTTTAGGGTTTTAGGGGTTTAGGGGTTTAATAGAAGATAACTCAAGCGACTCAAGGGCCTACCTAGCAGCTCAGCATGGGGGAGAAGCGTGCTGGGCTCCTGGGCCTGGGGCCATTTGTCTGCATCCCGGATGTGAGGGGGCACCACCATAGCTTGACCATCCTCCAGAACCAAAAAAGAACGGGCTGGGTTTAGGGTTTATAGGGTATAGGGTATAGGGTTTAGGGTTGCTGGGAAGCTTGGGAACTTAGGGCCCGTGATTGAACAGGATCTCAGCTAGATCGATACCCTCTGCTGCGCTTGTAACGGGCACGACCCCGACAAACAGAAGGATGAAGGCACTGTACTGGGCAACCAAGATCAGCTCCTAACATGCTCAGTCCTCTACCACTGTGGTCCTGCTGGGTTTCCTACTATAACCCCCCTGGTCCCTAGACCCTAAACCCTACACTTGGAGAATGCCACCCACACGGCCTGGAGGTCCTTGTAGAAGGACCTAATGTAGGCCTGCTTATCCTGCAAGCGTTAAGGGGCGGGATCTTTAGGGCTTTGGGTTAAACGGTTCAGGGCTCACAAGTGGGAAGTGGGCCTACATGCGGTTAAGGGGGGTTCAGGGCATGTAGGCATTAGGATTGAAAGGGTCCATGCGGCCCCGTACGCCAAAGCGAACGTGGGTGGCTTCGGAAGGCAACGGCTTTTGAGGGGCTTCGGGGCTCCTAAACCCTGTAAACCCTGTAAACCCTAAACTTTATAGGTTTTAGGGTTCAGGGTTATAGGGTTTAGGGTCAAAAGGTACCTGTAAACCCTAAACTTTATAGGGTTTATAGGTTCAGGGTTAGCTTTAGGGCAAAAGGTCATAGGGCCCACACCGGGGGGGGAAGCCAGGGCGCTACGCGATCCGAGCAGGCCAGGGGATGAAGGGCACACTGTAGGGCTTAGGGGGCTTTGGGTCCCCAAACCCCAAAGCTCCACCACCCGAAAGCCCGCAAACATCCCTAAAAAGCTCACTCCTAGACGCCCTAAAACCCGAACTGCTGGGTTCGGCCTCTGGGATGCGCAGGTCCAACACGGCTGGCTCCAGCTCCGCACCTCTGGCTCCAGGGTTCTATGGCTTTAGGGGTTCAAGCATTGTCGTGGGGGGTGGGGGGGAGGGGGGCTTGCAAAGTTTGCACTTACGGCTTTGAGAGCTTAAGGTTCATAGGCTTTGTAGGAATGTGGGGCGACCAGCCTTGCGAGCCCTCTTAAGGAAGGTACATAGGGACCATATACTAAGGGACGTAGGAATGTTGTCTTCGTCTCTCGGCGCCCGGCACAAGCCAGCCAGATAGCCTGTGGAGCAATGCCTCTGCGAAGGGTTCAGTCCAGCTGCCGTGCTGGAGAAAAAAAAAGGCGGCCCAAACGAACTCTGCAAGCCCCTTGCCTCTCGCGGCACATCGTGGGCCTGAGCTTGCAGACAAACCCGGCGTAGCCCGTGCGAGAAAGAGAGAGAGAGGGAGAACGAGAGAGACGGAGAGAGAGAGAGAGAGTCACCCAAATGTAGCTGCAGCGCCCATGATAACACCCAATCCCCTTGCTTCCTGTACATGCAGAATCTTCATGGGATGAAGACCCCTATGCTAACCCTAGAGCGTGTGGGGTTCAGGCGTCAACTTTAGAGGGTTCCTATACCTCAGGGTTCCACTATGAAAGCGAAGCCTGCAGGCCTTAAACAGCCCCCTTCGTCCGCAGATCTGCGGTGCTGCGTGCTTCACGGGTCACTTTGAAGGTCTGCCGAATTTTGCAACTTATAGGCTTAAACCCAAAACTCTAACCACTTCCTGAGTTCCTGCAAGTGCCCACGCGACAGGGCCCCGTGCCTGGTCGGCTTGGGGGCCGCCTCCTCAGCCTTATCTGCGGCGCAGTTTTTGAGGGCCCTAGAGGGTCTCCAGGGTCTCCCGGGGCCTCAAAAGGGCTCAAAAATTTTGCGGTTTGTGGGAGAAGGTACCACGTTGCAGTCCTGATTTGGGGATAAGGTCCAGGTGAACGGCGGTCAGAAGCCGGGTGGTGGGTAGGGGGGTGGGGGGGAGGCTGAGGATGAACAATTAATTAGAGAAGAACAGCCTGCATGCAGAAACCCGGTAACCGTAAAGCCAAAAGCCCAGACAAGAAAATAAAAACAAGCCCTAAAAGCTCTAAGCCCTGAATCCATAAACCCCCTAAAGCCCTACCATAAGAAAGCCCTACAGGAACTGCAGCCCGTGATCGGGTGAGCTCCTGGCGTAAGTGCGAGTCCAGCATGCGGCTGCTCGGAGTGATACTGTGCCAGGGCTGCTTCAGGGCTTATATACTAACCGTCCTTAATAGGGAGGATTATAGTACCCCCTATTATTGCCATAATCCCCATTAAGGACCAGGAGGGGTTAGGGGCTTGGTTTGTAGATGCGTATCGAGCTCCCATCCCTCCCTAAGACCTCTCAGAAGGTCTCCGTTGGATAGCAAAGAACTAGAAAGCTCTACTTCCAACTGCCCATGAAACCTCCGAGACTCCTCCGAGCGAGGTTCAAAGGAATCATTTTGTTGGTTGCCAGAGTTGAGGCTAAGATAGGCATCGCGGTCAGGTTTTCGGGTTCCGCCTTATTGGTTTCACAATGGTCTCCCCTCTCCTCACACAGGCGCATGAGGCGCGCATGAGGCGCGCGAGGAGGTGCGCGAGGCGAGCACGCGCGTGTGCTGCAGGGGCTTCAGGCTGCCAAACCCCCCCATACCCTACACCCGACCTTTCCGGCCTGTCTCCTCACCTCGCGGCGTCAGGAGGGCTGTGGAGGCATCGGTGTATGCCGGAGAAGTCGCCTTCTCCTCACGAGGGGCATGTTGGGCTTCAAGCTCGACAATTAGGGCTCCCTTTGGCAAGGACTCCTGCAAGAGTCACCTATGCAAGGGTGTTTGAAACAACCCACATTGGGCTTTGTTGGCGTTCAGGGTTGCTGCGTAAGGTTTCTGAAACGAAAAAGCGGCCACCTGACGGGGAAGGATTCGCATCCTGTGGCTGGCAAGCTTTGGCTAGGGAGTTTGGGGCTCCTTGCACGGGGGCATTTCAACCGCAATCGGTGTCCGGAATGTCTCATCAGATGCTTGCTTGATAACCCTCTCTTGAGGCGCAGGGAAAGGTCAGAAGCAAACGCCTGTCCTTCTTCTCACCCGAGCGCGCCAGGAATTTTAGGATGTTCAGGCTGTGCGCCTCTCGAGCTGTGCATCCGTAGGCTCTTGGGTACACTATAGGGGGCCTGAAGAATTAGAATAGGGTTTAGGGGTTATTACAGTATAACAACAAAGGGACCCTAAGGGAATACCCTTACTAATTATTCCGACCCCTATATTATAGGACTTGAGTTCTCAAGGGTTGAGGGTGTAAAGTCCACAGTGGGGCTCCCATAGCTTCGGAGTGCAGAGGGCCCGTCCCCTCCATCTGATGTAGCCGCCACAAGGGTTGCAATCAGCATCTGGTCTTGCTTCGGGCTGCTTCTACACCAGGTCTCAGAAAAAAATCCACCTTCGAAGACTGCTGACGTGCTGGAGAACCCACGCCAACCCCAACTGAGCGTAGGAAACTGTGCATGGTCCACTGCAGAAGTGGGTGCAGCACTGGCATCATGAGCCACCCATGGGAACATCCGGTCAAGGTAAGGTTCTGTCAACAGTCGAAGGACTTGACCCATCACAGTTGAAGAGTTTTATGAACCCCTTTGGTCTCTGAACATTCTCCCAATGAGGACCTTTAAGATCAGCCGGCCATATGAGGCTGGGGCGCAAGGAGGGCGGAGGGGGCCGGGGGGCAGGGTTGTTGGGGGATGGGATCTAAATCATTGGGGCCCTGTTTGGGCATTCCACGTAGCGCGGGCATCAAAAAGAGCCGACAAGTACGGGCAGCTCTCTACACCATGGTCTCATTTCTAGGGGTCCCAATCTAAGCCTGCTAGACCCTGAACCCTCAACCATTTGGAGAACTGCCCCCCCCGCATGGCCTCACATTTCGGCTGGTACGAGAGCCGTGTGTAAAATGTTCGGAGGAAGGCCTTCGTGTCGGCCTGCCAGGGTTGTAGGGTCCATTGGGGCCTAAGGCTCAGGCTGTACATAGACGGTCTGTGGTGTTCAGGGTCTATAGCGTTTGGGCGTTTGGGCGTTTGGGGTTTGGGGTCGGGTTGCGGGGCTTCGGGTCTCTAGTTAGGATTCAGGGCTTCGGGGGTTTCCGCCTCAGTCCCCCCACGCTGAAGCGAAACTCGGGGCTTGGGACGCCGGGTCTGTAGGGCCTTAGTGTGTGCAATGGCAATCCGAGCATTTAGGGTTTAGGGTTAGGGTTTAGGGTTTAGGGTTTAGGGTTTAGGGTTCAGGGTTCAGGGTTCAGGGTTCAGGGTTCAGGGTTCAGGGTTCAGGGTTCAGGGTTCAGGGTTCAGGTTCAGGGTTCGGGTTTAGGGTTTAGGGTTTAGGGTTTAGGGTTTAGGGTTTAGGGTTTAGGGTTTAGGGTTTAGGGTTTAGGGTTTAGGGTTTAGGGTTTAGGGTTTAGGGTTTAGGGTTTAGTGTACAGCCTTCAGGGGGTTGTCGGCTCAGGGGCATGCCTAGTCCCGCGGAGAACTGCTACCTGGAGAGATGAAGGGCAAACTGCAGGTGCCCGAATCGTGAAACCCCCAAGCCCTAAACTCTAAACCTCGAGCATAGGGTTTAGGGTTTAGGGTTTTAGGGTTTAGGATTTAGGGTTTAGGGTTTAGGGTTTCCTCTCTCCGAACTCCTCGCATCTCCAAACCGCACCTTCAACGGCTTTGAGACCACGGGCGCCATGACGAACGCCAGGCTGCTTCGGATATCTTCGTAGGTGCCAAGCTTGTACTGTGCAGGAAAATATATGAAACAAGCCCTTAACATTCTGAATCGCTCAAAAATTCTTAAAAATCTCCACTCTACACCCTGAGAAGGCTAAACGCAATGGCATCTGAAACCTCGAAAGGCCATGGTGACGACGCTTCGATCCTGCGCGATTAGCCTTTGGAGCCGGCGTCGACGCGCTTCATTCATGCTTGGAATCTTTCGTGCTTAGGGTTTGAAAAAGGCTCTGGGAATCATGACTTGCCATTGGCCTCCCAACCTACTGTCCCGACACTGGAAGCGAAATCTGGGGAGATTTGGATTGCAATGCTCTGGTACTGGTGGCGGAGGGATTACGTGTGCCTGCATCCCGTAGTGCCAAGCTTGGCTCGGGAGTTTAGGGTTCCTTCAGGGGTTTTTAGGTTCGCAGGTTTAAGTTAGAGAGCGGGCAAATTAAACATGATCCGTATCAGGAGTCTCATCACATGCCCGCTTGATCACCATCTGTTGCTCCGAAAAACCCTTCTGCGAATGCCTGTACTTCTGCTCACCTGTACGGCCTGCATGCATTCATTCTATGCTCGGTTTAGGGTGTTCAGGGTTTCAATGCTGTGGCTCTGGGTTTGGGGAGGGTTTTACCCGTCAGCACAGTCCTTATAGGGAACTAAATCATCCCAACCAGGTTCAAGGCCACCTGCTCGAATAGTAAACTCAGGACATAATAAGCCCTAATTGAATTCAAGGGTATAGGCTGTATAGGGCTTGGGCTTCCGGATTGCCGGGTTTCAAGGGGTCTTCCTGACGGTATGACCAAAGGCAGGCAGAATTGTAGTTATGCCCGCTCACCTCACCAAAACCCCACACCCCCTGCCTAGAACCCTACAGGCCCTTAAGTCTGAGTTGGAGGATTGCGAACTTGCAAGTGAGCCACCCATTTTAACCCGAGCCGTTGGGAACCGGTGCGCCACCACGTCGCGCAAGCAAGCGGCAACTAACACAGCGCACCGGGTGCGCTGTGTTAGTTGCCGCTTCCCTGCGCGATGTCGCGGGAAGTGGGATGCAGCACATATCTCATGCAGCGGCACAAAGGTCTCGAACAGATGCAGCTTCGGCTTCGGGTTTTCTGATTCCAAAGCCAGCCTAAGTATACACCTTTGGCCGCTAGCCCTTCGGACTTAAGCCCGAAACGGAGCAAATGATGATATTGACGCGCGCACATACCCAGGCCGTTCGGGTCCGAGATCTCGGCCAATCCAACGACATGAACCCTAAACCCTAAACCCTAAACCCTAAACCCTAAACCCTAAACCCTAAACCCTAAACCCTAAACCCTAAACCCTAAACCCTTCACATAGTTAAGTGAAGGTTATATGGAGTCCCTGGCACCCGGACCTGTCATGCCATGAGGGAAACGTGGAACGTGATGCCAGGCTTGGCACAGCAGCACAAGCGCCGGCGTTCATCAGCAAGCTATATTTGTGGTTTTATTGTTTTTCTAAATCGGCTCTCCCTCAGCAACAGTATGAATCGTCGGCAGTTGGTGTCTCATTGTGGCCTGAGCACAGTCACGAAGCTCTTCCCGTGCAATCTCTGCCGCTCCAGAGCGAAGAAGACACAGCTCCAACACTGCTGTAATCCCTCTCTACATGACACCGTAAACCCAAAAAACCCTCAACCCTAAGGATGCTTACAGCTCAGGAAGCGAAGAGGGAGGAAGAAAGCTCAGAGAGAGAGAGCCGGCCTGACATCTTCTTTGTCTGCCAACTCGGTGCCATGGAGAAGGTTTTGCTCCTTGCTACACGGGGTGGCGAGTTCCGGGTTCAGGATTAGGGAATCGTCCTCATCCCCAGACATCAAAGTGTTGCGGGTCAAGCAATGGCTGCACCCTTTTCCCTTCGCCGCCTAGGGTTTGGGGCTTAGGGGTGCTGGGGTTGAGGGTTCAGAGTTCAGGGTTCAGGGTGCTGGGGTGGGTTTACTTGGAAGCCCTTTAACTGAGTAAGTAGGGTCAGTAAGTTGGGTTACGGGTTGTTAAAGGGCTTCTAGGGGCTAAGGAGTAGACTTACAAGCTTCCAAGTCTACCTGCTGGCTGGGCTAAGGTGTCACAAATGATGTCCGTGGTGCGCGGCTATGATCGGCTGGCCTCCTCCTGCATATCTTCCGCTCTCTCCTTCCTTCCTGTGCACTGAAAGTGTCGTTTCTTCGCTCTCTCTCTCTCTCTCTCTCTCTCTCTCTCTCTCTCTCTCCCCCTCTGTGAAGCTGTGAAAGGCTGTGAAGCATCTGAGGCCTGTGCAGCTCCCCTCGCTTGGCCCGGATTTCGTGCACAAGAGCCTGGCTGGTGTCCAGGCCCAGGTCCGAGTGAAAGGCTCTTAGCTCAGCACTTTTCGATGTTCGTTGTGTGCTGCTCTTAAGTGAAACATGCGAGCCGCAACTTTTTAGTCGGGAGGGCCGCAAGATCCAAGCCATGCAAAAGCACACGTGACGTGGACCAACTTCCACTGCACTCTCCTATCTCAAAGCCGCACTGGCTTGCGATCTTGCGGCTTGCGTCGCAAATTCTGGGCATTTTGCACTCCAGGAGACTATTTTGCTACAGGGACTCATGAGAGGCCCATCAGTTGAAGACCGCAAGCTGCCCAACTAGCAAGGTTATTGGGGCCATCTGCATGGCTGAGGCGCCGCTGATGCCGCCACCCATGCCGCCGGAAGTTGTGGTGGTTGTCGTGGCGTCTACCAGATCAATCACCACACCGTCATTTAGGAAGTTCATGGTGGAGGGGTAGGAACCGGGGGCTACCATGATCTTGCTGTAGCCGCTCAGGGTAATGGTGGCGGAATACTTCATGTTGTCGCAGCACGTGGCGGCGGGGGTCTTCTTCCCAACCCATCCCAGGAGGTTTGATTGAGGGATGCCGCAATCGTCCACTGGGACGATGGCATAGTAGTCCACAAAGCTCTCATCCACAACGCCATTGAGCATGTTCGGTCCCCAGTAGACCACACCCGCATAGCTCCCTGTACTCTCGTCGGTATCTGTGAAGGTCGCTCCGCACACCTTGCACTGTAGGTAGGCCTCCTGGGCCAACAATTCGGTTGACAAGCCAGCCGCATCCGGGCAGTAGAAGGTGTAGGTGCCGGCTGCAACGCACTTGGCCACTCCGCTGGTCTGTGCAGTGAAGGTCACGTTGCAGGTTGATCCGTAGCCCAGGCTGTTGCAACCTGAGCTGGCCGCGCGGTCCAAGCCGCTGAACTTGTCCGTGCCAGACATGCGCAAACTGAAAGTGGGATCACAGGTGGGCGCCGAGGTTGTGGTGGTGGTGGTTGTGGTGGTGGTGGTCGTGGTGGTCGTGGTGGTTGTGGTGGTAGAGGTGGTGGTGGTGGTGGTGCTGGTGGTGGTAGTGGTGGTGGTGGTCGTCGTCGTCGTTGTGGTCGTCGTGGTGGTAGTGGTCGTGGTCGTGGTCGTGGTCGTGGTCGTGGTCGTGGTCGTGGTCGTGGTGGTGGTGGTGGTAGTCGTGGTTGTTGTCGTGGTGGTCGTAGTCGTCGTCGTGGTCGGGCATGCTGTAGTATCGGTGCCCATGGTCTTTACCAACATTCCCGGAGTGGAGGTCAGACCGGACGGGATGCCAGCCCAGCATGTCTGCGACGCAGTCAAGCCTGCCAGCGACAGCAGAAGCAACGTGCGAATCATCCTCGCTTGAAAGGTAGATTCCAGGTAGATGTTCGAGACTTTTCACAGACTTCCTTGAGCCCAAGCCTTAAGGTCTCCCCACTCTCGCATGAAGAAGGTGTCAACTGGATTGTGAAGGTACATTAAGGGCCCGTATCGAAACAGGTACCCAACCGGGACCGCGATTCAGGGAACTTACCAGGTAGGGTTTAGGTTTTAGGATTTAGCGTGTGAGGCCGCTCCAGAGCGAAGAAGACACAGCTCCAACACTGCTGTAATACCCCTACCAGAAACCGTAAACCCAAAAAACCCTCAACCCTAAGGATGCTTACAGCTCAGGGTCGCGGTACCTCAGCTCGTGGGCAGAAAGCGAAGAGGAGGAAGAAAGCTCAGAGAGAGAGCCGGCCTGACATCTTCTTTGTCTGCCAACTCGGTGCCATGGAGAAGGTTTTGCTCCTTGCTACACGGGGTGGCGAGTTCAGGGTTCAGGGTCTAGGGAATCGTCCTCATCCCCAGACATCAAAGTGTTGCGGGGCAACTGGCTTGCGAAAGCTCTGCATGCAATGGTTGCACTCTTTTCCCTCCGCCGCTTCCCTGGTCACACGCGCACGAGCACCTGCGCGCAGGACACTTGGACCCTAGGCTTGGGGCCATGGGGGTGCTGGGGCTGAGGGTTCAGGGTTTAGGGATGTTTGGGGTGCTGGGGTCGGTGTACTTGGCAGCCCTTTAAGTAGGGTTAGTAAGTCGGTAAAGGGGTTTCTAGGGGCTACTAAGTAGGCTTGCAAGCTTCCAAGTAGGGTTTAGGGTTTACTGGCCCCTAAACCCTAAACCCTAAACCCTAAACCCTAAACCCTAAACCCTAAACCCTAAACCCCAAACCCTAAACCCTAAACCCTAAACCCTAGACCCGAAACACTTTCTGGCTGAGGGTTTAGGGCAACATCGGTGGATCTGCTTCAGAATCACGGTGCTTTCGAAGGGTCCTCAAGCCTCCCCACAAAGGGGTAGCCCCCAACTTTGCCACTATGTTAGGGAGGGTTTAGGGTTTAGGTTATAAAGGCCGGTGGCCTCTTTATCTGTTACCCTTATACCATAATATAGCCCTAGATACCCTAGTTAGAACACCCCTACAAAGCAGAAACCCTACTTAAAGAGACCACCAACCCTTATAAGGTTTAGGGTTTAGAGTTTAAGGTTTGGGGTTGAAGGGAACCCGAAACCCTAAGCCCTAAACCCTAAACCCTTGTGGAGTAACCCTTGTGGGTAACCCTTGTGGGTAACCCTTGTGGGTAACCCTTGTGGGTAACCCTTGTGGGTAACCCTTGGGGGTAACCCTTGGGGGTAACCCTTGGGGGTAACCCTTGGGGGTAAGTCTTGGGGGCGAGTTTCGGGGGGGGATGGGGGACCCTGCGCGTGAGCAGCCCAGTGTTGCCAAGCAGCAGCAGAAGTCAACACGGCCGTAGGCCCGAAGGTGCAGGGTTTTGGGTTCTTGGGTTGGGGTTTAGGGTTTAGGGTTTAGGGTTTAGGGTTTAGGGTTTAGGGTTTAGGGTTTAGGGTTTAGGGTTTAGGGTTTAGGGTTTAGGGTTTCGGGTTTAGGGTTTATGGTTTCGGGTTTAGGGTTTAGGGTTTAGGGTTTAGGGTTTAGGGTTTAGGGTTTAGGGTTTAGGGTTTAGGGTTTAGGGTTTAGGGTTTAGGGTTTAGGGTTTAGGGTTTAGGGTTTAGGGTTTAGGGTTTAGGGTTGAGCGTTTAGTGTTTAGGGTTTAGGGTTTAGGGTTTAGGGTTTCGGGTTTCGGGTTCAGAGGTTTAGGGCTTAGGGTTTCGGGTAGCATTTCATGCGTTCACTCATTTACTTCTTTCACTTCTAAATGCATTCACTTACTCTCTTCACTTCCCAAAAGCCGGCTTAACAATGGTAAAAGCATGCATGACAAAAACTAGAAAGCATGCCAAGGGGAAACGAGAACACACGGCCTTATACAATCATACGTTCATGCGCCCTTATTGACTGAACTGACTGTACTTCCTAGCTTCTGATGCCACGAGTTCCCTGGGTCAGAGCTGCTGGTCCGCAAATTCTCTGGTTCAAGGGTTTTGCGGGTCCTGCAGAAACTGAGAGTTCGGATTAGGGCGGAAGGGCGCTGAAACTGCTTCAACCCTAAAGCCTTTGAACCCCTTTGCCGGCATGTCTGACCCTTACCCAAACCCATAAAACCCCAAAGCTCGCAATCCTCAGCCCTGAAACTCTCAAGCTCTCAACCCGAACGCCCCTGCCTGTACGCGTGGAAGGATGACGGGTGGAAGGACGACCACTGGCGGAGGAACCACACGCGGAAGGATCACACACGGACTGACCTTCGCACCAGAGTCAAGGGTTTAGCAACTAGGAGTGCACGTTTCGGAGCTGTTGAGGCTCAGTGCTGTATGTTCAGGTTTTATAGAGCTTTGTATGTAGGACCTTTATGTACTATTTGACGGCTGTCGTTGCTTATGGTAAAAACGCATTGGCCTTCAAACTCTTAAAGGCGCAATAAGAAGGCCCTTTAAATATTGAGTTATTGAAAGTTTCACCTTTTTGCAGATTTTCCAATATTAAAGAGCATTTCTCTCGGCCATTAAAATTTTCGCAGCTTTGATAAACATACCTATCTCTCGGAGGGCCCAGAAACTTTAACAGTTAGGAAGCCAAGAAGCCATAAAGCCAGGAAGCCGAGAAGCCAACAAAAAAAAAAACAACAAAGAATTCCGGAGAACCGTATAAGCCAGAAGCCGAAGCCCGACAACCAGAAAATAAATGTCTTCCCACACAAATAGAGACCAAGTCTTCCGATTAGAAACAGAGAGAAGCGCAAACTGAGGTTTTCCGATTAAAAAAAGAAGAAAACATACAGGTGTTCCACTAAATTGTAGAGAGAATGGGAATGTTCATATTAAAAAGAAAACGTTTGCTTGGTGAAATATGGTGAGAATACAGGATTTCCTGGAAAGATCTAGTGCAAACTCTAAGCCCAAACAACGACAACTCCTCCCACCCCCCACCCCCCCCCCCCCCCCCACCCTCAAAAAAAAAAAACATCCCCAAAATGTACACCCCCTTTTGCAAACTTGGTAAGCTTGCACGGCTGGAAATACCCCCCCCCCCCCCCCCTTGCAAACATGTTGCTTTGCATGATGGTCTTTGAAAGGATTCAAGATATGCCGGGAGGGGGCCGGGTTGGAACAATGAACAATGAGTGATCCATTTAGGAGTTCTAGCCGCTCACTGCCTACGCCAATGATATTAATGTGGCGGGCATACTCGTAATGGAAGAAAATTCGCACAAAAAGAACAAAGGACTACTCCAAAGAACCCAGCAAAATCATGCAACACAAGCGGTTCTTTCGGCGTATTCACGTCACTAGTACGTTGTCTATATTATCAAGGAGTGTTGCGGGCCAACGAAACGACTTGTACTATTGACACTCAAAATCCCGGGCCAAGTCTGCATTTTCCAAGCCCGTCGACAGCCGCCAACAAGTTTATCCACTAAGCAGGCTTAAGGCAGCCCCCCTAAACCCGAAACCCTCAAGGCAGAATATATAGAAATCGTATGTGGTTGACAGTGCTTGGAGCCTGCATACTTGATGAATCTGCCAGCTACCAATGCTGCTGGCTGTGAGAACCGCCTGAGTTGAAGTAAATGGCTCACATGGCTCACAAGTCCGGGAAACTTCTGGAGGGCTTAGACCCGCCTCAAACTTTCGCCCACCCCCCCGCCCGCCCCCCCCGCCCCTCCCCCCCCCCCGCCCCCCTGCCCACAAGCGCAAAAAGAACAAGAAACGCGCCCCAAAACTCTGCCCAAAAACATCGCCTAAGATCGATGCACTTCCTGAACTGAAACACCCAGGCAAGCCGTTGTGGCCATTTTTTTCCACACCGGACTGCTCTGAGCACCGCGCCTGGGTGGTGCTGATGCGAGACTGGCCTCTCTGGGCCTGGAGTAGAGTCAGGGCTTTGCGGTTTTCGGGATTAGGGACGAGGGTGTCGGGTTGAATTCTAGGCTGTATTGAGTTAGGGCTTAGGATTTAGGGCTTCGGGTTTAGGAAGGTTTCCGATCCCGCAATTTTTCTACCCAGTCATACGTTAATCTTAGCTTGTGTGCTCTTCTGGTGCACCACCAGGTTTCGACAGACCCACAGACATCGAGCCTAGACCCAAAGAGTAGCCTAGGTACTAAAAGGGCACCCGTTTTGGTGTAAAGGGGATTATAAGGGAGCCTAAACAAAAAAGGGGAACAAGGGCCTTCTTAGGAGCTTCAATGTGGCAAGCCACTTGCTGGTTTCGAACCCTCGGACAGCTGGGCAAGCACTTAGCTTCCGTCCGATACACAGGCCCTCCCTCTGCCTTTCAGATCCCAAACCCCTAAACCCTGGGTTCCGGCTGATGCGGGTGGGCCTTCCTGAGATTTCGACGTCTCGACCTAAGACTGAAAAGCCTTGAACCACGTGCCCCTCCCTCCGGTGCATAGGGTCGCGTGCCATCGCGGGTGGCGCAAAGCGTTGGCCTGGGTGGACAGGTGTGAACATGTGTGAAGCCAGGTGATGCCAGTTCAGCATTTCACCATCTGCCTTCGAGCAGTGAAGCCTGCCCCTACTCTCTCAACCCTGCTGGGGGTTTACGAAACTAGGGGTACCCTTTTGGGGTCCTTTCTACAAGGGACTCCTCCTATTTGGGGGTTTATATTGGGGGTCCCCTGTTTTCGAAAACCCCCTTATGGGTTATACCTGCTAAGTAAGGGTAAGTACCACTAAACTGTAGGTAAATAGAGTCCCAGGTAGGCCCTAAACCCCCGTTTCGTTGTCGAGATCGAATGGCAAGAAGGCGCGCGTCAACTGTTCAGGAGGGCTTCGGTTAGGGTTTAGGGTTTTAAGGGTTAAGGGTTAAGGGTTTAAGGGTTAAGGGTTAAGGGTTTAGGGTTTTTGTTGGCTTTGGTGGTTTCCGGGCGCAGTGCGGGGTCGTCGTGGCTGCTTCAACCTGTAACTAC